TTTTTTTCCCAGAAAATATATTTTGGCCAAGCTAAGAATCCAGGAACGTCACTAGGGAGGGAACAATGAGATCTCTGAAGTCATTTGAAGGTGAAAAATAATTCCACAGAAAGTACAATGATCTTAATTAAATATTAGCTGTAATTAGTCTAAAGAGCAAATGTTGGGAATATTAATTAGGGTCTCTCAGGAAGGGCTGTCGGTGTTAATAAGTAACTGTAGGGGGTCCCACCAACATCTGTTTGAGAATTCCAGGTACAGGATGATGTCTAGAGCCTCAGGTGGAATGATGCTATCCAAAGGACTCTGAAGTCAGGCCTCAGGCTTGAGATGGGGCAGAGATTGCCCACGGTGCCACCCCACCTCTGGCCGAGGATGCATTACCTTTCTTAGCTGGAAAATAGAGTTGCTGGCTTCTGTGCACCAAATACTGTGGAGTCTGACTTCTACACAGTAAGAAGCACCATGTTATGTGTTAGAGAGAGGGATTTGGGAGCTAACCCTCCTCCCATGTGGTTCTCCTGCCAAGTGAGTGATGCCTAGGACCTCAATAAAAGTGGACATTGGTTCACCTCTTTCCTTCCCTAAGAAGGACTGTGGCTGGAACCTTCCATCATCATTTCCTGGTTCTGGGCTGAAGCGTCTTTGACTGCAAAGAAGAAGGAAAGCACACCAAGTAGGGTTCCTACTGTTAACATGTAGGACCTGTGGATAAACCTGTGTGGGAGGGGCCTGTCCTGTGCTCTCGATGCTACTCAGCATCATACCTGACCTCTTCCTGCTAGATGGTAAGAGCACATCTTCCCCAGTTGTGGGTAACAAAAATGTCTCTTGTCCTTACCTAATGTCCTCTGGGGAGCAGACATCACTCTTTAAGAATGCATGAGTATCTGGGCATGGTGGCACACACCAGTAATCCTTGCTTTCTGGACAGGAGACAAGAGGATTACAAGTTTGAGCCCAGTCTGGGCAAGATAGCTACTCAATAAGACCCTGTCTCAAAATAAAAATTCAAAAAGGGGTAGGGATATACCTCAGTGTAAAAAAAAAAAAACCCTGGATTTACTCTCCAGTACCCCCTCTCCAAAAAAAAAAAAAAAAAGAAAACTACATTGTATTGGTGTCAAGTAATGAGCACAATGTCTAGCATCCATCAGGCCAAGCCACTCAGCTTGTCTTTTGGCCAGAAATGAGAAGGAGCTGCCTTTGAAAGGGAGCATAGAATTCTGAGGCCATGGTAGACTCTCTCCTCATCCCACTTCCACTGAGTGTGGGGCCAAGGTGTACCTGTGCAAGTGTGATTACAAGTCAGGCAATTGGTGATGGGAAGACAGCTCCAGGCAAAATTCTGATGCACACTTTGTATCATCCTAAATGTTGCTCATCTCCATGACTGAGATCACCCTTCCTTCTTGCGGAGCCTACATTTCCTTCCTGTCTCTTCCTGCTTCCCTGGCAGCTTTATGTCCTACCAGACTGCCACGATATCTTCTTAGCTGATGTCCCTTTATCTAACAGTATTTTGCCATAGCCATTAGGAAACCTTTTCTGCATAAATCCAGAGGGTACCTAGTTTAGGCTTTGTGGGCCATGTCACAACTGTTCAGTTTTGCCATTGTATCATAAAACTATCCATAGAGAGTATATAAACAAATGGGCATGGTTTTGTCCCAATAAAACTTTATTTACAGATACAAGCAGGGGGCCATATTTGTCAAGTCCTTCTCCCTTCTCCCTTCTGCTGCCAGCTTCAGCTGCAAGAGCTCAGAGTTCATTTTTCAAAGGTCCATTTGCTTAGCAATCCCTCCTGCTTTAGATTTTGCAGCTAACCCACTACAGGAGCCTGGGGATAGAGCAAGGAGTGGAGCCCAGTGCCCTGTTCTCAAGAAGCTCACAGACAAGGGAATGGATGGTGGCAGTGCTTGCTTGGGACTATGTGAGATGTGGCCACAGCTGTGCAGGAGCAGGGAGCAGAGACAGTGAACCTGGGATCCGAGGGTCAAGGAAGGCTGAGAGTAGAGCTCTTGATCTGGTACCTGAAAAAGAAAAGATTCCCAGGTGTGGCTGTAGGCAGGCTTTCTAAGCAGAAGGGGACAGACAGGGAGTGCGAAGATGTGGTCTTGGCAAGAAGGACCTCTTCCCTTCCAGCTTCAGGACAGTTCATCTCTCCCATGCAGAGTGCTTGCATCCCAGCAGGAGCCCATCCTCTTGGGCAAGCGCTGATGGGGTTACTTCTTCCCCAGATTTTCTTGCAGTGACAAAGGACCACCTGGTCATGTGCATCCCAGTGAAAGTATTGTCTCTCAAGGAGGAAGAGTGTCACCTTGGCCTTCCTGTCCCCAGTGTATCTATGATTCCATGCTCCCCCAGGTACCCAAACCTGGAGCTTTCACAAGTCTATCTTTCCATTTAGAGAGGAACCACTCAGAAATCGCAGAGGACAAAACTGGCCTGGATAGAAGCCAGCTGTGGCCCAGAGAATCCCTTTTGGAAGGTTTTCATGACCCCCATGTGTTTGGGGCTTCAAGTCAGCCACAGAGAAGTGGCTTCACTCTGTGATTTCTGTACACAAGAACATACTCCTTGAATAGCCTAAAGGAAAGAAAAAGATTGTAGTTTAGTTATGAAACAGCAGAGGATTTTTTTAATTAGTCAAAATCCTCTGGGTTGTAAGTAACGGAAAAATTAGCTTAAACAAAAGAAGACAAAGGATAAAATATTTCAGTTATGCAATATGAGTAAGTTCTGGAGAGTTAATACACAGCTTGAGGACGATAGTTAAAAATACCATATTTTGTACTTGAAATGTGCTAAGAGGATACATCTTAAATTAAATCATCTCACCACACACACACACACACACTAACTGTGCGATGAGAGATAAGTTAACTAGCTGAAATATGGTGATCTTGTAATAACGTATACATACATCAAAACATCAAGTGACACATTTTAAATGTATACAACTTTATGTTAATTATCTCTCAATAAAGCCGTTGAAAAATAGGACATTTACTCGTGTAACTAAAGCAAACAGGAGTGGTACTAATTCAGTGCAGCTGGATTCAAGACTTCAGATGATGTGCTAGGGACTGGGCTGATACGGTTCTGATGCTGGAGTCCTCCACCCCATCCACCTGTTTGTGGTCTCATCTGTAGGCAGGTCCTCTACTTGGGGCATTTCTTGGAAGTTCCAGGCTTGCATTATGCCAATCATAGTGGAAAGAAAACTTCTTTCCAAAGCCTGCATCAAAATCTCAGGGGGACTAGGACTTGTCATGCCAGCCTAACTCACTAAAGGCTCACTACATAAATGGCCAGAAACCAGAATCCCCAAGACTACAGCAGTAGAAACTTCTGATGGACAGGACACAGTCATGTGACAGCATTTAGCAGTAACCAGGGGCTGGGTTCAACCACCTGTGCACCAGGCAGGCTTAGTGGGAATGTCCCCCCAAGGGAGATCAGGGTGTTGTCTGGAAAGAAGCAGGGGTAGAGGGTGAGCTGTAATAATAGTAAAGGTCCTCTGTGTCTCTGTGATGGGTTTGTTGCTTTTGTTCAACTACCCAGCCTTAGCACAGGAAGACACCCCACCACCTCAGATTCCACAGGAAAATCTTAGAAAGGGGGCAAGGAATAAATAGGTGATCCTCCTTTGCCTTCAGTGGCATCCAGGGTTTGGAAAACTCAATCTGAAAGAGGAAGAAGCCTGATGAGAGTGCTTTCACTTGTAAAAGGTTTTATGTTCAGTTCTTTTCAGTGACCTCTTTAACATTCGAATGAGGGGTCCTCTCTAAACAATGTGACTACCCCCCCAGCAGCGTGTTTGTCAGAATCAACTCTGGAATGTTGTGGCAGCTACTTAGGAGACAGGAGCTGTCCTGTCACTTTTACCCTCCTGCCATTACAGGAGGGCTAAAGTCACATCTAATTGACCACAGACAATGGGAGAGGCTACTACTTGTTTTGCTTAATTGCTTGGCTTTTTTTCCTAACTTCTTCCTGCTTTGTATTTTCTAACTATGCAATGGCATCTCTTGAGACTGTGGAAAATTGGGAACACCGGGCTACCGTTTCTTTTTGCCTTCTGCATGAGTGTGTGTGTGTGTGTGTGTGTGTGTGTGCATGACTCTGAGTGTGGGAAGTGTGGTAGAGTTATGGGGGTGGAGGTGGAGGGAGAGAGATGTTTCTTGAAATGGAAACTTTTGAGTTCAGGGTAGTTTTTTTGTAATTCTTTTGACTTGACTGTAATTATCATACTGCATGTTTAGGCTATAACTGAAGGGCGAATTGTTATGTAATACTCTATGCTTATAAAAAAGTAAGACAGGGTTTCGAGGAGAATAGGCGTTGACTTATGGGGCTAAGTCCAACATTTTTCAGAAAAGGTTGAAGGGGGAATGTCACAGAGGGAGGACATCTTTGTCTAAATTAGGTCCCAAGTTTCCATCGGCTGCTCTCACCCACATCCGGTGTAGACAGGGGACCATTACAAGGACCCACCTCTCCCCTTATATGAGCCAAGTCACATAAAACTGAGTGAAGGCAAATGCTTGGGTGAATTGTCTCTCCTTTCAAGAACACATTCATTCAAATTAATCTCTCTTGGCACTTTACGTGTCAAATCCAAGCTCGCTGTCATGGTGGACAACTACATGCTCACCACTTCCAAAAGAGGAATAAAACAAGAAGCCTCCAGGGAAAAATCCAACCCAGTAGGGCACAGAGCCGCCCAGTCTCGGAACACCGGGCTGCAGGAGTTGGGGGAAGCGGCTTCGTTGTTCTGGGCCTCGGTTTCTCCATGTGTAAAAGGGGCTGCCTCATGGTTAGAATGTGCTCATAGCACGTGGAGAGGATTGCCTGGGATACGTCCACCTCAGGCTGGATCTTGAGGTGCCTGGAAAGTGGAAGGGAACTGGAGTTTCTGGGCTCTGCGAAAAGGTTCTGTTTGCAACTCATTCATGGTTTTCTCTCCCTCTCTCCCCTTTGCACTTTTTCAGGGTAATCAGGAAGCAGCGGCCGCCCCTGACACGATGGCTCAGCCTTACGCTTCGGCCCAGTTTGCTCCGCCTCAGAACGGCATCCCCGCGGAATACACGGCCCCTCATCCTCACCCCGCGCCAGAGTACACTGGCCAGACCACCGTCCCGGAGCACACGTTAAACTTGTACCCTCCAGCCCAGTCCCACTCCGAGCAGAGCGCCGCGGACACCAGTGCGCAGACCGTCTCCGGCACCGCCACAGTAAGTGGGCTCTGCTTGCAGAGCAAGACCAGCGCCTGGCGCACCCCTAAACCCAGGCACTCTGGAGAGCAGAGCAGCTCTAACCCCGCCTTACCATACCCGCTGTATCCTTTGCTGTTATTTAAAACAAAGTATTTTCCATGAGCCACATTTATTTTTCAAGGGAAGAACTTACCTACTTTCTGTTCGTCTATTTTTCTGTTCTTTGGTTTTAAGGGACTGGCGCTGTGGCTCAGGGCTAGGGTACTGTCTTGGGAAACTGGAGGTCCCAGGGTCCATCCTCAGAACTCAGGCTGTTGTAGTAGGTGGAACCTTATAGAGATATAATTGACGTATCATAAAATTCACCTATTTAGGGTATAAAATTCACTGATTTTTAGACTACTTAGAGTTGTGTGACCATGACCAGCGCCTGCTTTTGGAATATTTCCATTACCTTGAAACAAATCTCATGACTCTTTGCACTGCAGCCCTCTGACTCTTAGCAGAATGCATTGGGAACTTAGCCATGCTGTGCCTTTGTGTTCCTGATTTTGGGCTCTATTACCACAAGGTTGCGGGAACAGGGGAGGTAGAAGCGGAGAGGGCAACATGAGAGATTCTTGCTGGGCAGGAGAACTGTTCTGTATCTTAATGTTGGTGGATGCGGGAAAAAACAGAATCTGCTCGCATGCGGATGGATTCAGTAGATTAAAACCAAGGAAACACGCAAACCAAACAGTCTCACAGGCACAGAGAATTTTGTTCCACTTGAGAACATAGGATAGGCATCCTCTTCATCATCATAATGTTCTGCTTTCCAGAGCGTGCGCTACCCAGGAATTAATGTATCGCCAGGGTAGGAGAAAGCACTTGTAGGAGGCTATCTGCCCCAGCAGTCTGACTGGAGGAGTGTGCATTTCCAGTTAGGAGGGATGGAGAACTCGGCGGGGAATGTACTGGCTCATCCAGCATGAAGTCCAGGAGGAGGCTGACTTTGGACACAGCTTGGTTCCTGGCACACATCAGTCAGCTCCCAACACCAGCCCTGCTTCTGGCTTTGCTTCCTCGTGCTCCTGTCTGCTCTCTGACTCAGTCCCTCAAGGTCAGACTCTTGTCATCACCATCAGCAGGGCAATGCAGACTCTTAGATCAGTCCCCTGGTGGCCCCGGAGATGCCTCTTTCTCTGGCTTGTGAGCTGTCACCTTCAGCCAGTGCTGATGCTGAGATTGGGTGGGCCTCAGCTGTGAAGCCACCAAGAAGCTCCGCACTGTGGGCATGGCACAAGGACCACTTACCAGAAGCAGGTGTCAGCTGCCTGAAGGACTATTCCTCAAAGGCGCTGAGCGGCCAGCAGTAGAGGTAGAGTGACAGCCATGTGTACGGAGGGCTCTCGCTGCTGTGTTTGTCAAGCCCAGACAGTGAGGAGGACAAGGACAGTGTTTTGGAGTGGGAGTGTTCATAGCTGGTGGAGTTTGGAGGAAGAGGAGTCACTGAATGACAGACACATGAGTAGGGTATTCAGATTGAGAGTTGAAACAGGCAAGTGTGGTGCCTTGGAAACCCAGAGAGCGAAAACCTGGGGACTTTAGTGAAGCTGGCACTACAGACATCACTGAAGACCCAGGAAGGCACACTTTTGCTGGAGCAGAGGGGAGATGTGCCAGGGATTCAGGAGTGGAGGGATCAATGTATGGATTAGGGTAGATATTCATTGCCCATGACAAGCTCTTGGGGTGATGAGAAGAAAGATAGTAGTTTAGAAAAACAGTGGTCAGAGAAAGCTGTTTGCAGAGTAGCTTAATTAGATTGGCCGGTTTATACAATGAAAAAAGTACCTATGGAGATTGTGGAAGAACCGAAAACAAGAGATAGGAAGAGACA